TGCAGGGTAACACTTTGGTTGAAGATAGGCCTGAATTTGCAAACAGGAAGTTTTTTGGGGAGTTGTAAGGAAAATTTGTTATTCACAAAATTTAGTCCTGTTAAAGCTATTTATCAGGTAATGTGGATAAAGTAGGTCATTAACTCCTGCTGGATTATGGACTGCTTTGTCTGATTGCTGCAGTACTGTATGATTGAGGCCCTTATTTTGGACATACATAGCTATGCCCTTCTGCCTGGGAGAACATGCACTGATTTTGAGAACTAGCAGCTGGTGTTTTGAGAGTCTGGTCATTCTTCACATGGAGGATGGAGAAAAATCTGGGCATCTGAGCATATGAAAAAGATCTCAACAATAAGAAAAAAATACCTTCTTGGGGCAAAAGAGACTCTTTTCTTTCAGGTGATATTTGTATATGGACTTAAATAAAAAAGCTAACCATCACACTAACTCATATGGATTCAGAATTAAATATGGGACCCATTTGGACTATTTCCTCAGCCCCAAGGAAACATTGATGGAAAGAGTAATTGGCTCGTTCAAAATTAAAATCAACATTGTACTTTTAAATTCCAGCTGTGATAGTCACAAAAAATTAATGCCTGTTGTACTGGAGAGAAAATACCACTACTGGATACACAGGTAAGTGATGTCCAAACTACCTGGCTGAGGTAGTCTATGGCACAGTACTTCTCTTGCAAATCACCAAATGTGACTGGTAGCAAAGTGATATGACTTTGCCTTGTGGTCACAATTTTACATTAACTACAATGAACAAAAGAGGTATTTTGAGCTTCTATTATGGCACTTACAGATATAACTGCATTTTCATCAGTAGATCTCAAAGCACTTTAAAATGGTCTCATATATATTTGGGATATGAGGCATGGATGCAGAGATATATTCAAAACCTTCCACCAGACCAGCAGCCAAAGCTGGAACAGAAACCATGGGCTCCAATCTTAAGGTTTTTCTATGCTTTTCATTTAGAAGAATGTCCTAATATGTATGTAATAACAGTGTTTAACAGGAAGTTCATACAAGAAAAATACTATGATTAGTGGTGTAGTTCATATCTACAGGAGGCACTGGATAATGAATGTTAAACTATAGAAATTAGTAATGTGGCTTACTACTTCTTGTTCCCTCCTAAATAGCACTTTTTAAAAAATATTATCCACTTTTTTATTTCACAGGCAAAGCAGTTAAAACTCAAAACCTCATAGCAATTAATTTATATGTCTCCAAATTCCATCTCTCTGTTAATAACCAGTCTGAACTGGTTGGGTCAGAAAATTCTTATAATCCTTATGTGCAGTACAGAACTTACATAATCTGTTTCTCTTCCTATCGTGTCCAAGCCCTTGAAGCTCTGTTACAGAATATTGACATTCCACTTGCTGATGTCAACAGTAACGCCACACCCTGCTGTGGGACTCCCTTCACAGCCTTGCCTTTTTTTTTTTTTTTGTTGGAGCTTGTTTTCGTGTGTCCGGGTGTTATTTCTGCTGCTGTTTGTTGGGGTGTGTTGTTGGGTTTGGGATTGTTTTGTTTGAAGCTGTTGAACTGGTTTCTGGAAGTGGTATATGTAATAGGCTGCATGTGCCTGGTGTAGCAAAGGCCAGAAAGCTTGGATTGTGGGCAATAAAGCAAGAAAGGGGAATGAGCCTCTCAGCAGAGGCTGATCAAAAGAACATAGTTGGATATTCCTTAGCAGCAGAGAAATCTCCCCAATGCATTGGAAGTCTCTGCCCTCTACTGGCGTTCCTGCAGATCAGCCTGGCTCAGCCGTGGGAGTCTGTGATCATCCCCTCGAGATTCCTCGCAGACCGTGTTGAGACTGGCCGTATTTATAGAGCAAATCCTTTAGAACATGGTGTTTCAGGAAGTGTAAGAATGACAGTGTCTGACAGGGATCTAAATCTCAAGTGACATTTGCTATTGACTTCTGCAATGCTTTTCAGATGTCTGCCTACTTCTCACCTTGTTCAACACTGCAAGGGTTAGTCTGAAGCTCTCCACATGCTATTACAGGCCCCATCTGTTTTCTTCCAGTGAGCCAATAGAAGGAAGAAGAAAGATAATAAATGTTACTTTTTGTTGTGGTGGTGGCTTTCATTCCACTCAAAAAAAAAAAAAAAAAAAAAGTGCTTGTTTAGCATAATTAATTATTTCAACAAAAGGTTTCAAAGGGCAATTTTGGGTTAATGTAGAGCTGCAACTGCTGAATGACTCAGCTACTATTTGGAAATCTTTCCATCTGTTTTCCTTGGGTGCAGGGCACAATTGTAATCCTCTAGTTTGTGGCAATTTTTATTAGATAATTGGTAGAAAAATAATTTTCCCATGAAAATATAACTTTGAAAAACTAATTAAACCTCTAGGTAAAATATTCAGACCAGCCCTTCAATGAACCAAAGTTTCTGCAAAGCAGCAGGACCATACATGGGTCAGGCTCCACAGGACAGTGACCACACTCCAGATAGCACCTCAGGCTCTCCCCCACCTAATGCACATGGCAGGAGGGGTTGGGACTAGAAAATCTTCAAGGTCCATTCCAACCCCTATGATTTTATAAAATGTTATCCAGATGTTGGGATTACAAGGGATGGAGACAGCCCAGTAGATAAAAGATATACATTTATTTAGCACAAAAAGATCCATATTCAAATAGAAGTGCATTTATGCTTTTTCTAGTACTTTATGGCACTTTGCTCTTTGGAAAAGTGAAGAACCATCACGACTAACAAAGACATACTAATCACTTGACAGAATAGCTGTTTTGTCCTACAACTGTAGGCCTGAGAGCAGCTTATGAACTGTAAGGCAAACTAGGAACTCCTTCTTAAGTGAGTAATCTCTATGCAGTTCTATCAACTCAAGTGGAACGTTCACAAGAAAAGTGTTACATGACTAGGAGATGAAAAAACTGCAATGTTTCCTATAGTTACAACCAACATGATATGCATGGACGGGGTTATATTCTCAGGCAGAAAAAGACAGACAGAGTACTGATAGATTCACAGTAAGTTACAGAAACACTTACTGACAGAAAAAAATCCAACCATTATGTATGTGATTACATGACATAATTAAGTACAATTCCCATTTCACAGAAAACAGGTAAGTTCAGAGTTAGGATACCTACAGACTTTAAAGCCTGTAACTTTCATGAGAAAAAAATCCAACCATTATGTACGTGATTACATGACATAATTAAGTACAATTCCCATTTCACAGAAAACAGGTAAGTTCAGAGTTAGGATACCTACAGACTTTAAAGCCTGTAACTTTCACTTAGAGACAAGTACTGGACATTATTTGGTAAACAGATGTTGATAGCTCACAACTGACAGCACTGAAATAATATGTGAAATCTGGTTCCATTAATGGCATAACTACAATCACTGGATACAACACCATCCAAATTATACTGGCAGACAGATTTTCCACAGCTTTTCATTTGCTGAAGTTCCTTAGCTGTAAGTGACTGACATCAAAGATGTGCTGCTGAAACTAGTTCAGTCTTCCCACCAGTAGTTATCACCTGGATTAGACTCCCAGAGTTTGGTCTATCCTTTCCTGTTATCCAGTTGTGAAAAGTCCTGTTTTAAAATAAATGCATACAACAGGGTGAGAAGGAATGAAAAAACAACTATTACTGTCAGGTATATAGACAGGAAGCATAAAATAAAACAAAAGCATATTACTTTTCCTACTGCCCTCTCTAGCAATGCTGTAAACCAGTGATGCAATCACTGGATTCAGACCCTCAAAGCTGGAGAGAGGCCCAGAGAAATCCACAGGGCTTTACTGCACACACACAGATTTTCAGAACACCTCAAAGGGAAACGCCAGGAGCTTAAAATGTCAGAGGGGCAAGGGTTTCTTCCAAGTTAAAACTAAACTGAAAAGAGGAAGGAGGGACTACTTTAGTTGCCTTTATAGCACATATATATCAGAAACACAGATTCACGGCTAGGATGAAGATACTAAATCCATTACTCTGCCAACAGGCCATTGTAACACTTGGATATCTAATTATGAATGTGGTCTGAGCAGAAGCACAGAAGGCCTTAAGCCATCCAAAACAGTGCCAAGTAAGCTGGATTCATTCTGGGTAGCACACCTGGACACTCCTTATCAAAATGCAATGCAAACTCTTTCCTCAAAACAGTGTACAGAAAGTGCAGCATATTTTACAGGTGCATCAACCCTTCCAATAACAAAGGCACAGTAACTGCCATGTTGGAACATCAGCTATCTGACAACAGCTTCCAGGACACGGAATTCAAGTGCCATATTGGAAAAGATTTTCTGCATCCTTCCCAAGAAGCAGATGATGCCAACACCTAACAACAGTGGATGTTTTTCTTACACAGACAGTATGATTCTCAGTTTTCAAAGCTGGAGTTAAAAGTTTAGAAAATTAGAAACAAAACAAACCAATCAACCTGTAACTTTTAAGTATTTTTTCCTTAAAGTTAAAAAATTAACTTGCAAATCCACAACATCTGGCTAAGCAGTCTCTGGAGCATGATAAATTAAGGATCTTTTTCTGAATATTTTTTGGCCAACTAAATTCAATTGATGGGGCTCTTTTAAAGAAAAACATTGAACAGCTGCATAGGCTTCTTGCAACAAAACTCATTTTCCACTCTGACATCCTACTTAAAATTCAAAAAACAGAGAAAGAATTATAATGTCAGGACTAAAGTGTTCTCTGAACAATTAGCAATAGGTAAATTCAATTTCTGTGTCAGTTCTAAAAGGCTTTAAAAATGTGTAAGAGTAAATCCCTCTACAACAAGTGAACAAAGATTCAAGTTTGGTTTTCCTCAAAGAGGAAAATCAGTTGTATCCTTATTTTCTTCCTTTTGACAGCTCACACTCAGTGCAATCTTTGCTACTCCCCATCACATGGCAGAAGGCAGTACTCATGCTGCACCTCCTCTAACCATGAGGAATGAGAACAGTAAGGCAAATAATCTCAGCCTGACATTACATAAGCTACAGTTGAAGTTTCAGCACTTTGCAGCATCACTCAGGACAAGACTCCGTGGATGATGGAAAAGAAATCTTTACTAAATTTTTCAAAAGAGCAGGAATTTTGCCAGCTGAGAGAACTGAACTAATACACCACAGACTGGGCAGTACAGAGTTTTAAAAGAAAAAGAATCCCACCCAAGTTCACATGCCTATTTGCAGTTTATCTTTAAGCCAGGCTACTGTCTCTGGCACCTGCTGTCTGCAATTTAATTTGTCTACAGGTTTTATGAGATTCTCTGGCTTCCAGCTGCTTAAGGCTATCTCCCTTGCTGGAATAACTGCTGTTGAGAAGCTGAAGTTGATGGAGTTGTGCTAATTTTCTCCAGTTAGGAAGCCTGTGCAATAAATGTCGATGTGATTTAGAAACATAAACAATGAGATGACGGAGGAAAAAACCCACCCATATCCAAGACAGCTATTTCAAAAGAGCATGCACTAAGATGCAGCAGCAAGAGGGACAGTGCAGAACTGCTCAGTTATCACATGGATACTCACTCCACAATGAATTCTAAGGGTGTCCAGGAGCTGAAATCTGCATCAGGCATCGATTTTCTATTTGCTGGTGTATCTAAGGTAACCCTGTGATTAAAAAAGATAAGCCTTTTATTTGTACCTCATGATTCTGATGAGCACCACCTGCTTCAATTCATTGCTGGAACATATGCTTGACTTTTACACCACATGGTAGAACTTCCCTTGCATCCTCCACATGTGTTAACAGCATATAGTAAACAGTTTCAATGTATACATTAAATATATACACTGTATATATGCAAGGCTCCAAACTATAACTCCTCACCTTCATGGCTTTCTGATGGCATCTAGTCCATTAGGGCAGTCACTCTTAGCTCACAGTTCCCTTCCCACCTCTCATGTGCAGTCAGGGAATGTCATTAACATGCTAGTTCACATGTACTGCACAGCACATATGCACTACATCCACACTTCAAACAGCCTCATGCCAGCTGCAAATGCAGAGATTCAGTGCATAAACATGGGAAATGTTGACTTTGATGATACTGTATATACTACATACTGTTGATACTTAAGGGGTGAGCTTTTCACAGCTCTCTCCCTGAGATGCCGCTGACAATCCAAGGTATATTTACCCTTTCAAAATTCACTGAGTTTTGCATGAGAACTATGCAAGAGGAGCAGGCAGAAGAATCCAGTGATCCTGGTGGCTGCCTGCCTGTAAAGGTAGGTGTCAACTACCCAACCACTTTTAATGCCATTCCTCTCTCTGACCTGAAGAATTGTGCATAAATAGTGTGTGAGGAAAACAAAAGCAGGGAGAATTCAGGTAGTGTTCCAAATCCCTACAGAGAACTCTCTAGTCTTAAGTTTTGGGTCCTGAACTAGATAAGGACCTGGCAAAAAAATAGTTTTAGTTTTTGGAGCAGAATTTATAAGCTTAGACATAGTGAAGACCTACTTTTTACTAGCTTTCCTCATCAAAATGCTGGCATGCAAATACAAACTAAACTTTTTCTTTTCACAGATCCTCAAAATGACCTCATTTTACCAATCAAGCATAGCTATTGCAGCACCTTATGAAGAAGCATCTTTAACCAAGTTAAAACATATCAGGTAATCCTTTGCTTTACTATTACCACACAGCTAAGTCTAAAACTGTGCTGAATAGTTCATCTCATTTTTAGAATTCTGTCCCTACTGAAATAAAATAAATTACAACTTCATGCATGGCTACAGTTAACAGGCTAAAAATGATTCGAATTTTAATCCTAACATCCACTACTCTTTTGCAAAAGGAAAGAAAAAGAACTTAATAATTTCTAGGGTGACTTGCATATAATTTTGTTCATATACTCAAGATGCCTCCTCTCTCTGTGAGACTCTAAGTAGGTCTGAGAAGCTGATTGTGTACTGCAAACAGGACAAGCACATCTACATGGCTCTAGGTTACAGCAGTAACTAAATCAAAAAACACAGGCAGAGACAAGTAAACAACCACTTACGGTAAAATGGCAACAGCAGCAGAACCAGAAGGCAAACCACTACTGGCACCAGCTAAACTCTGACAAAGCTGATGCACTGCTCCCTTGGCCATGCCATAGGCAATCATCCCTAAATTAAAAACAGGCAAATTAGAGCACAAAGAAAACAGCTCTCTGTATCACCAGCAGCATGATAGAAGCTCAAGACTGATGAATAGTAAGACCACTTACCACAGCTAGAACAGAATCAGAGTTTGAAAACATATTAAAACATACATATTAAAAACAAAAAAATGGGGGGGGGAAGCTTTTAGTAGACATCCAGGAATTATCACAGAACTCAGTTTACTCAGCACTATCGAAATAAGCAGCTTACTGAGTTGAGCACATTTAGTTAATTTATCCAAACACACCCTGAAGGATGTGACCTACAGGGCTAAGCTTACAAATATAACAGAGTAAGTGTGAAGGTGCTCATACACTTTAATAAGGCAATCACCCATTAATTTTACTCATATGACTTAAGGTGTTTGCAGATTTGGAGCCAAACTGATCAAGTTCACTTCTCTCTGGACTGTAATTCACTTGGTCAGCACCCTAAGTCTGACAGGCCCTTTGGAGAAAGCTACAAAAAAGTCCCCCAACCCTCATGGTAGAAAATTACTAAATAACCTGCAGGTAAAGCAAACTTTTTCCTAAACAGTGTTGCTTTCTAGGCTTACTTATATTACCATTATGATAAATCACTTGCATCTGATTCATATTCCCCTCTCCTCTTGTTCAAACGAAGCATTCTAAGTCTTCTAAAACCTTTACATGCTTCTACCTTTCTCAGCCACCACTGCTGGTGCTGTTTCTGCAACTGTTCATTAAAGTTTCACCCTTCTTCAGTTTGCATTATGTGAAGCAACATTTTCACATAGGAAAAGAAAAACCACACTAACAGCAAACAAGAAAAGACTAGTTCTTCCACAACAGCTGGCAGTAACAAGTCTAACAAGGCCTATTTGCAAAAGTTGAGTAACAACTC